CCGGGGTCCAGAGTCGGGAGGTGGAGGGAGTCCAAAGACCATACTAAGGGGGTGACGTGGCTTGCGGGGCGGGGACAGAGACCAGGGTGGTGAAGGCTCTCTGCCGTGTAGACAGGGGATGGAGGAAGCTCAGACGCCAACCCCGGGACCGTGGACTGAGGGAGACCGAGAACACGCCACGGGGGAGAAGGGGAGAGCTCGAGGCGCGGACTGGGAGGAGAGCAAGTTTCCCGCGGTTGAAGGGAGAAACTGCGGGAGGGAGGGAGCTCTAGGCGCAGACTTGGCCTCCGCGGGCGTTCAGCTGGGCTCCGAGAAGATCCCGGCTTCGCCAGTGGGGGCGGTCGCTTAGCACTTGGGGACTCATTCAGGAGAGTGGAGGCACCTGGTCGGGGTGGACTGGACGTGAAAGGCACGGCCACACAGTTGCCACCCAGTCGCGCGCACACACACAAATCCCCGGGTACACCCCACACTCACACCGCACACCTACACACCCACATTTGCACACACCCTCACGTACACTCACACCTGCACACACGCACACACTCATACACCCACCCCACACCCTCACACCTCTACTCATTCGAGATCCAAAGCCTCGGGGAAGGAGGCCCGCAAGGACCTAATAGGCCAGAGCGAGAGATGAAACTGCTATCCCTACTGCGCCCACCGCGGGCAGGAAGGGTGACCTGCCGAGCAGCCACTGGGTCAGCGACACCTCGCCCCAAAGGCAGCGGTCCCCACGTGACTACCAGGCTTCGGAGCCTGTCCCTTCCCGGCTGTGGGGGCAGAGCTACCGGGGCGCAGCTAGGGTTAGACACTCGGGGCCCAGGGCTCCGAGGGCAGAAGTCTGTCTGGGCCTCCCACTTCTCAACTGTTCCAATAGGCAATCCATTCTGATGATGTAATTTATAATTTATGTTGTCTTCATACATATGGTGTTGCTTTTGTGGGGGGGGTTTCAGGTATTTTATTACACTGATGATGTGATTTGCATTCATGTTCGCTTACCAAGATCATATTTCTCCTGTTTACACCATAAGGACCCTAAATGAAGATTAATGTCCCTTCCCTATGCCCAGACCATTCCTCGTAAGACCCCAGGCTCTGGCTTCCCGAGACCCTGGACCTCTACCGAACCCCCCACCCCGCCTCCCGCCTCCCGATTCTGGCACTGAGCTCCGAGTCTGGCAGCGAAGTCCCCGCGCACCAGTAGACGGTTCCGCGGACTAGAACGCGTCTGGGGGCAGAAATAGGGGCGCGTACACAGGAAGCTCCTTGTTCTCCAGGCCGCAGCTAGGCGCCCCAGTCCGTGGGCCAGAAGCAAGGTTCTGAGGCCGGTTTGAGTCCAGGGCCTGGTGGAGTGCGCACGCTCCAGCTACTGACTTTGAAGGGCGCGGTCGCCTGAGTTCTGAACTAAGTGGTGACCGAGACCCTATAAGTCAGGGTGCCAGAGAGTCCTTTCTGGCTTCCGGCCCACGCAGGGAGTTTCCCAATAGGGCCAGCGTGAAACTGGACTCGGGAGAGTCCCGGAGGTGGAAAGAGCAGCCGGGAGGTCCTGCGCGAGGCTGGCCAGACACTAGCTGAAATGAATACACCAATTAAGCTGGAACAAACGGAAACAAGATGCAGCGAGCACTGACTCCGAGAGCAAGGGCGTCTGGGAATGTTGATCACGCCCGCGCCCGCGCCACACCGCACCGCACCGCACCGCGGGGAGGCGCGGGGGTGGGGGCTGGGGAGAAAGGCCGGTGAGGGGCCTGGGTAGGCCTTTCAGGCAAACGGGGGCTTGAGAAGATCTGGCGCTCCTCCACTATATCCTGTTTAGCAGAAAAGGCGTCTTCGAAAGGACCACGGGGTGGGCATGTTAAACCAAGAGAGGAAAGCTTAAGCGCATTAAGTACGCACTATTTTCTGGAAGATTCCAGCGCAGTTTGGGGTTAGGAAAAGACTGCTCAGAGGCGGCCCAGGCCACTAATGTTTTATCTGGAGGTAAAGACCCCGCAGCCCCGCCCAGTCTCCACTGGAATAGGGGGAGCAGATTGTGAATTTCAAGACCAATCTAAAGCGCGCGCCGCCCCCGGAGCTTGGAGATCTGCCTGCGGCGTTTCAAAGTCACTGGGGGGCTGGGCTCCCGGGGGAACAAGGGTTGGGGGTCGCCTTGATCTGGTAGCTGTCCTCTCGGAAGCCCTCCCCCCTCGTCTTCCTATACTGTTCGGTAGGCACCGGGTTGGGGCAGCCCCGAGTCGCCCCAGTCCCCCGCGGGGGATGCAGGTCCATCGCGTTCTCCAGCGTAATTATTTGATCCGCAGATGTAAGTGGAATTTATTGTAACAACAAATATAGTGATGTCAAAACCCAACCTTGGATTAAAGCCGGCAGCCAAAGGGGAAGTGTATTAATTTCCAACAGCATCTCAGGCCAGAGCCTATTAGAAGGAGCTATCCTTCAGCCTCCCACCCCCCCTCCCATCAGAATTAATCATTGGGAGTTAATTTGAAGCTCAGACAAGTTGCTGTTAATTTAGTGCAGGGAGGGCGAGATGGAATAAAAAGCTAAGGTGCTGGCCGAGCCTCGTGGGTCTCATTAATCAGCCAGCTGAGACGGCCTGGCTTGATTACAATTTGCAAAAAAATTCATTAGGGCCCGGGCGATTGACAATTTTTCTCTGCCTGTGATGTGACTCATTAGGCAGCCAAATGAAAGCGATGATGACGGCGATGATGACAGCGACCATCAAGCCGAGCTTGTTTATCTTCCTCCCCTCGGCCTGTCTCCCGGGCCTTGGCCTCCGAGCAGGTCTCTCGGGGGCGACCGGGCGCTCTGGGGCTGGGGGGAGGGGGAGGGGTGGCGGCGTCCTTAGAAGGCCTCGGGTGTTGGGGGTGCTGCCTCCACGGGGCTGGGGACCTCGAGGCTAAGATGGGGCAAGGAGTTTGGCCCCCATTTGGGGGAGCTTTGGTTTTTGAAGGCTGACTAGGGGTCTAGTTGGGGGGAAGGGGATGTTTTAAAGTCAAAGTTCAGCAGATCAAAGCCCGCCCCCACCCCCAATGGCTTTTGCAAAAAGTGGGTGGAGGTTGCGCCTGTTGTGGTGAGGAGCAGAACGGGATCCCTCCAGGCCCTTAAGAGAGTGGCTGGCTCTTAATACCGGGGGTGGGGGGGTGGGGGGTGTCTCTCGCGCCCCACCTGGGAGCCTGCAGCTACCTACATTCTCCAACCCACTCACCAGTTACAGACCCTCTGGGGCACATGGCTAGCCTGGGAACAGACTGGCCCAGGCGTGTGTGTGCGTTTGTGTACGGGGTGTCCCTGTGAGCCTCGGATTCCGCAGCAGCAGGGGTGTGACCTCTGGGAACCTGGCTCGATTAGATGGTGTCCTCCAGCTCGAATGGGCACGGGCAGGTGGGATGGAAGGGACGCCCCCTTCCCCCGTAGAGGGGATGGAGGCCGTAGGGACCCACTATTTGGTGTATTGTGCTCCAAAACAAGGCCTGGACCGTTTTCTGCTGCTGGAAATCCTTCGCGCGGCGGCAAACAGGGGATGCCCGTGGGGTTCCGGCGAGACCTCGGAAGCCGGTCCCTCGCCGCAGGGCTGACAGGCTGTAATCCGTGGTACAATCAGCACGGCGCCTCCTGGAACCCTTTTCCCGCTCTACCCGCCCCCCTCCTCTCCTCAGAGCCACAGCGGGCGTCCCCGGCCTATCCTCGCTCCTTTCGGAAGACCGAGGTTGCCAAAGCCCACGGTTCCCCTCCGTTCCTTCCTCAGACTGCTGGCTTGGTGGCCGCCACGACTCTGGGGATGGGATCGTCCGGGGAACCACTAGTCTGCCCACGGCATTTCGGCAGGTCTGGCTGCTCGAGTCCTGCTGCGGGGTCAGGGACAGACTTGGAAGAGGGGATTAGGAGCGACACTCGCGTGGGGACGCCGTGCCCCTCTCGAGTCCTGTTGGCCACGACGCGCCTCCAACCCCACTGCATTCCTCAGTTTCCCTCTTGGTGGGCTTGCCGGCCCAGATGCCATTGGAGTGGGCGAGGGTCCGGGTCCTGCCCTCTACGACCCAGTCTGGAGAGGAAGGTGCCTGACGCGGGAGCTCCCAGAGGCCCATTGTGCGCGCGGCCAGCCGCCGCCTCTGTGTTGGGGCCGCGGGACTCGGCTTGCAGGGGGTCTTCGCCTGCCTGAAGACAAGTCCAGCGCCTGATTTATGGACCTTTGGTCTCGCCGGCTGCCAGCAACGCTCCTTTCCGGGCCTGGGAGGACTGTAAGTAAACACGTTTTCCTGGGCTTCAGTCAGTTTCCTGATCTAGGATTTTGGGCAAAGCCACAAGTCAAGGCTCTTAGGCTCTTGCTTTTCCTCCTCCTCTGGCCAAAATTGACTGGGATTCTGGATTAGGCTGAGCCAGGGAGGTTAGATTTCTGAAGTGAAACTAGGTTTGCCTCAATTTATTGTGGCGCAATTGGAGGGCATGCCCTCCCATTTTAAGCCTAACCCGAGCTGTGTGGCTCCTGTCCAGCTAGCCTGAGGTGACTTGACTAGGGGACAACTGACCAGTTACAGATTATCTGACTCTGAACACATTTATGAGGCCCAGGGAGTCCCCCCCCCCCTTTGTTTCCTTCTCTCCTCCTTTTTATTATTCACAAGACTGAGATTGCTTATATGTCATAATTTAAAAGAAATTAAGCTACATTGAAATAAATTAAACACAACGGAGACCTGCATCAGACATGGCTCAGATAGGATACGCAACCGCAGGAAAGAAAGCCAGGGCAAACCGAACCAAAGCAAAGCAAAACATCCAGCTGCCGATAATGTTTGCTTTTCAGTCAACTCAAAAAGCCCAAACAGAAAAGCAAAAATGCATTCAAACCCCAGTGTTTGTCCTTTTGGTTCATGGTGGCTGCTATGCACATCGGGTGACCTCTTCAGTGGTTGTGATTTCTTCGGGAAATGTGAGTCGAGACTATGATTGGGATATTTGGTCCTATAACTTTCAAAATACTGCAGTCTATATAGATATCTATGTACAAAGTAGGATAGTATAATAAATATTTACTATGTCTTTCTGGTGTGGCTGTGACCCCTTTAAAAGCAGTCTTTGAAGGCTGTGCAGAGGATAGATTATTCTCAACTTGCTTGGGATGTCCACAAAGTTGGGGAGTGACTTTGAGTTTAGCTTTGGACACAGTGCGTCCACCATGGGTCCCGCCATTGCGGGGTGCCCACTTTTCTACAGTGGGTGCCAGACCCAGTCTCCCCTAGATTCTCAGGGCCGGGCTTGTTCCAGCTGCTGGTGTTGACTTCGAATAGCAAACCTGCTGACGTGGACAGGGATGGGGACAACGATCTTGGGATTCCTGGAGGGCTCCCCTGTCTTGGAGTTGGCATTGCCAGCCTTCACCCGTTTCCACTTGGCCCGGCGGTTCTGGAACCAGATTTTCACCTGCACCTCGCTGAGCTTGAGTGCGTGGGCGATCTGCGAGCGCTCGGTCAGCGAGAGATACTTCTTGCAATGAAACTCCTTCTCCAACTCCAGGAGCTGCTCGCTGGTGAAGGCAGTCCGCCGTCGCCGGTTCTTGCCGGTGGATGTGGTGCTACCAGCCGCGCCGCCGCCAGCCGGGGGCTCCTCCAGCACGTGGCCCGGTTCTTCCTCCTTGTGCGCCGCCTGACCAGGTAGATTGTCATCCGAGCTGTAGTCCAGATCGCTCTCCAAGGAGAAGCTTTCCTCCTTGCCCTTCGGGTCGTCTTCCACCTTTGACTCGTCTTTCCCTTGCCCTCTGACAGCCCCGACTGAAAGCAAAACCAAACGGCGTTTTATTACATTTCGCACACTGGCCTGCCTCCTCGTTCCCGCAGTCGCTGGACCTTTCCCTCCCTTCCGCGGATGGTCTTTCTACGGCATTAACACATTGTGGTTTCCTGGCTTTTTGAGAGAGGGGCGTGGGGCGTGAGAAAGCTCAAAGGAGAGGAGGGGACAGCAGAGGCGACGGCCCTACGCCCGGAATCATCACTCACGGGGTCGCCAGGCCTCCTCCGAGCCCTCCCAGCCTCCAGCAGGCAGCGGGAAGCAGAAGAAACCGGAGGCCCCAGAGGGCGCCCCTTTTGTCCCCGGGATGGGGGCTGGGTGAGGACTAAGGGGGAGGAGTGTCAGGATCCACCTCGTCTCTCCACAAGTGAAAATTTAGTGAAATTCAATTTCACCGCAGCCAGAGTGGGGACGAGAGGACGTAGATTCCGGACTGGGCTTTGATTTATCTTTTCTTTTTGGAGACAGTTAATGATGGTGAAAGGGAAGTTTCGCCGTCTTAGGAGAACTTCCTAGCAGACACCCCAACACACACACAGGCACCCACACGTAGACGCACAACATCCCGAGAACCCGGTTTTTCCCGGACGAGCAGCGAGCCCAGTGAAGGATCCAATGGGTCTGCGCGCCCCAGGGCCGGAGCCCGGTCTAGGCGCGCAACCCAACCTGCCTCCCTCATCCAGGCGGAAACCTACCCGGGACCCCAGGTCACAGTGGGGGCGGGGGACGGAGGCTTCAGGGGCGGGACGAGACCAAACGCGATGGCAGACGGATAATCGCCCACGCAGCAGCTGGCGGGGGCGCTAAGCGCCCCCCGGGGAGCCCGCTGGCGGCATGGACTCGTCGCCCCGGGAGGCCTTGCGGTGCTCCTCTGGGGGCGGGGGGCGCGGCCTCGCCCCTCGCCCCGCGGGGTCCCACTGCCCCAGCGCGCGCGCCGCCGACTCACCGAGGGACGCCTGCACCGCCTCAGCCGCGGAGAAGGCGAGCAGCGAGCCCTCCTTGGCCAGGAAGCTCTTGCCGTCCTCGGCCTCGGCTTGCAGCGCCTCCGCCTTGTCGAAGTTGCCCGCGCTGGGCAGCTGTTGAGGCGCGAACTTGCGGCCGGCCGCCGTCTCCTGGTGTTGGGGCGCGGCGGAGAAGCCACCGGGCAGCGTGGCCATAAGCGTGGAGGTGAGCGCCATGCCCTGGGCCAGGCTGGAGCAGAAGCCGGTGGGCAGGCTGGGGATCTGGTGGTGCGGGTGCGCGGGCGGCAGCGCGGCCTGGGGCAGCGCGGGCGGCGGCGGCGGCGGCGGCGGCAGCACCACCGGCCGGTAGGGCATGAACATGGGGTAGCCGGTGTAGACGAAGTGGCCGGGGCTAGGCTGTGGCGGGCTGCCGATCAGAGAGTCGATGCTGAAGGCGGTGCTGCTCCCCAGCGGGCGCTGCATCATCCTTAGCGATGGCGGGAGCGCTGCGCTCATAGACGCGCTCGGGAGAGGCCGGCGAGCGGCGACAGGTTCCCTCGCTGCGCCACCCGGAGCCCCGCGGGGGCCGGGAGAGCAGGCGCCGCCGGCCGTCAGTGCAGAGCGCGCCGCATACCCGGGGACGTAGGGAGGCCGTGCGCCCGCCCGGAGAGCGCCCGGGCCCGCGCGCCGCCACTGGGCCCTTGCCCCGGCTAGCTGCCGTCTGGGCGTCCGGGCGTCAGTCGGCCGGTCAGTACGGGCACCGGTACCTCGGCGGGCCGCTAGGAGCGCGGAGCCGGCGCTCTGGTCTCCGAGGGCGCCGCCAGCACCTTTAAATCGCGCTCCTCTTTCTCATTCACATTTCGCTTGCTGCCCGGCCGGGCTCGACTCACGTGGGGCAGGGCGCCACCTTCCATTGGCTGCGCCGCGCGCGGGGGCGGGGTTCCAATCGGGCCCGCCCCTCCGCCGAGCCGACAGCTGGCGGGTGCGAGCGCCCAGGGCCGAGAGCGCGGACCGGAGGCGGCACTGAGCGGGGACCCGCGGCGCCAACTTCAGAGGGTCTGGGCGCATCCGGGCTCCGCCTCGCCGGAGTCGTCCCAGGGCCTCTCGGGGCTCGCATGTCGCTTCCTTCATTGTCCCTTTGCTAAGAACCAACTGCCCGCGATCTCTCGCTGCTGGGCACTCTGAGGCTGAGCCGGGTGTCCGGCGAGGCTCCTAAGTTGGGGCGCAGCATCCCTTCCTCCAGATGTATTCCTTCCTCCCCCTCGGGCGCCCTCCGCCGCCGGGAACCCTCCACGCTGCGCCTCCACTCTGTGACAGGCAGCGAGAGGAAGCTGCTCCCTTCCTGCGGAGCCCTGCCCGCCCAAGAGCGAACCCTTCTCCCATTTTTCATACCATCCTTAATCACCGTACCTATTCACACACTTTGCCTGCGCGCACCAAAATACCAGCCACGATAATTATGATAATAAAGCGGGTCTTTTATCTGCTCCATCCTCCGGGAGGCGGAGTGGGGGGGGGGGGGGAGTGGACCGTGCCCCTAGATTGTTGAACAGGAGATTATTCTGATGAAAGCTTTATGATGTTTGCTCAAATAAAAGCTGCGTTTTGTAAATAGGCGCTAATTAAGCACGTTGCGAACGGAAGGAGCTCTCACCCCGCGCGGGTCTCCAACGCGAAGACTTGAGGGCTTGTGGGTCCCCTTGGCCGACTGCAGGATGGATGAAGAAATTGCACGTGTCTCGACAATGGTAAAGACCCGAAATTTGGGATCAAGGGAATTTTGAGGGGGGTAAGGGTGCACTCATTCCCTCCCCCGTATGGTAATACCAAAGTTCCCACTTTTATGTTTCCTTTCAAAATGGAATCCTTTGGTGGCGAGGACAGACAGTGCGCCAGGCGCCAGCGCGCGCCAGGCGTCCACGCGCCTCCGGGGCCTGCGCTCCAACTTCCCGGGTCTCGGTATCCACCGGGAACCGGCGACAACCCCGGCCCCGGAGGGCGAGAGAAGGGCATTGTTACATCGGTCATTAAAAATCAGAGCACGCTGAGGCGCTAGTGGTTGGGGAGTTGGCCCATCTTGGCCGTGTGGTATGTATCACTTACAAGCACATTTAATTGGGAGATAAAGATAAATCGATCTTTATGAATTTATCGACCTGCTTCTTTGAAGCTCTTCTTGCTTGCTCTTCCTCTTTTTCCCTGCCTCCAACCCCAAGACTCCCCCAGGGGACGTCTTAATCCCTGAAGACTTGCACATTCAGGAACCTGACTGGGGACCCAGTACCCACTTAGGAGGCCCTGGAGGACAGACGGGAAGCTGCACCCTCGGCGCCCCGGGGCGCTGAGAAAACTCGCTGGCCCCGCCGCGTGCAGTCCTCCTCTCGCCTCCGCCCCCTCCGTAGCACCCGGACAAAGACGTCTCGGGCGGGCTCCCCCTCTCCAGGCCGCAGAAATAGATGGCTCCAGCGGCGGCAGACTCTTTGAAAGGAATTCATTAGGGCGCCGCCGCTCTCCCTTCACGTCTAGACCCGAGGTGGTTCGGGTTGTGCGAGGGAACAGGAAATTTCTTTAGCGATCCGCGGGGGAGAAGGTGTCTGTGGAGTTCCCAAGCTCTTCCCTCTTTCTCCAGTCTCCCAAAAGAAGGGGAAAAAAAGAAAAATCGAAGGCCGGGGCAAAAGACTGATTTCTTTATAAGCATGATAAAGACTTCCTCAAATTTAAGAGATAGTTACCCAGTCTTTGCTATCATTACTTTGCTTGTTTGTTGTTGTTGTTGTTTTAATACTTAAGAAAAAAATGCTCCAATCCTCGCTTGATTTACGTTGCTCCAGCCGGATTTCTTCGAAGCTTGCCATTGGCACGTCTGTGTGAGCTGTAACTCATTTTACCTACACGGGTTTGCCATTTCGCCGCAAAAATATTGTTCTAGGAACTTCCGTCTCCAGATTATCCTTCGACAAAAAGGCTTCTTTGATTATTTAGGTGATCTTGGTACATTTAAAGTTCAGCACAAGATGTAGGTCCGTTGAATTATAGCAACACTAGAAATAATGTGATAGCATATTATTTGCATCCATAAATTGCTGTAGAAAGTATATAATGCTAATCTACTTTTATTAGTGAGTTCAGAGAATTCTCATCAATATGAATTTTATTTACTAGTGCCTTTTCGCCAATGCAATGCAGTAATATTTTCTCATCTAATGCTTAATTGCTTAGAAAACGACTCTTAGTATCATAAAAGGATCCGTGTGTTTCGGTGTGATTAAAAAGATTCATTCGATACCCCCGCTACCTGCAAAGCGTTTTGAGCGTGGGGACTGCGGATAATAAAAACCTTTAGAGTTTTTTCTCGGCTCCTCAGCGAGATTTATGGGCAACTAGCTACAGGACATGGCTTATTATTCATCCTGTGGATTTCCCACCTGCTCAGCGTCAAACTGCAAAGCCCTTGTTGCCTCATCTGGGCCCAGACTGCGCGGGAAAACCTTGCGCACAGATCTTTGCAACTTTTCTGAGAGAGTCCCATCCCTCTCCACCCCAATTAGGAAAAGTGAGGGAGACTCCCAAAGGGGGGAGATGGATCCCCCAACTCCACTTTTTTTTTTCTTCCGTCTCCCTCTGGGATGAAGTTGGCACCGCTCAGGGCTGGTGTCCGGATCCTATTAAGTATCATTTAAAACCCGCGACGTCAGTAAAATGAGGGTAATTAAGTTGTCTCCCCGCTTGGGGCTGGCCCAGGCGCGTTCGCAGGCAGGTGTAGGAAAGCCGAGTGTAAAATGTAAAGTGCACACAGAGAGGCATGTCGTGGGCAAACTTGCGCTTTGGCTGCGGACTTCATACAAGAGGAGGAAGTCCAGCGAACCGCGCTCTTGGAGGTCGCCTTCCTGGTCCAGCCCGCGAGTGGTTGTGGAGACAGGAGCGGCCGTGGGCGCCCCAGATCTCTGTGGGCACCGAGAAACTAGAGTCCTCGCGCGCCCGGCGCCCACTCTCAGGCGACCAGCTGGTTTCTCGGGCAACCGACTTGTGTTTATTTGTGGGGTTTTTGAGTGGCCCGATCGCTCGGCCATTGCCGCTGCGCTTGCTCCTGGCAATAGTTGGGAAATAGCTTGGGATGGGTTTTATTTATGGAAGGGCAATTGAGATTCACACCCAGCTAACCCAGAACAGTCCCTCCCGAACCCAAGATGCGTTTACAAAGGGGTACTTGTGTAAAATTCCCCATCAGACACACCAATTTGCAAGTAGCAGAAAAGCATTGAAGCCTCATCTTTTTAAACTATTTTATTCAGCCTCTTTTTTTTTTTTTTTTTTTAAATCTGAAAGCCCCAAATAGACTGCATGTGGTTCTAACTGAAGTCAGCCCTTGGCCGGCTTTGAAATAGCTGCTGCAATTATGTAAAAGAGCTATTCTCCGACAGGACGGAATTAAAAGGGATCTCGCCCGCTTTCCTTTCATTGCAAACCTCTCATGTTTGGCTTTTCAAAGCGCTTCCAACACGTTGTCTTTCTCTAGGACAAAAGGCCGAACAAAAAAAGTCCCCAAACTTGTAAATTGAACGTCAAGGGAACTTTAAACAATTTAAAGCCCATAAATAATGATAAAGAGAACTGGCAAAAAAAGGCAAACCCATTCAATTAATAGAATTTCCCAAGCAAAGATCAAGTGGTTTCTGAAATGAGAGTCGTTGGTCCCTTTCTTCTGCTCCTTGGTCAGGCGGAAAGCTCCGACAAGCGGCTTTGTAGAGCGCCTGGAAGGAGAAACACGTTGCGGGACTCTGTGTGCGCGCGACATTCTTATGGAGAAAGTTTTGCTTTTTCATCCCCCTCCACCTTAAAGTCACAGAAATAAAACAAATTGCAAACCTAGAACGTGAAGGGGAGGAGCCTTCTTTTTTTTTGGGGGGGGGGTGTCTTTCCCCTGAGGGGGTGGGGATTGAGAACTTCTCCCCAGGCCCCAATGCCAGGAAACGTGATCCTTCACACCTGCGCCGCTCTCCTACTGCGCGCAGGGGCAAGGAGCCCTAAGTAGGGTTTGTGGTTCAGGGGTGTCCAGCACGACCCTAGAACTCTGAAATTTGGGGATAGATGCCCGGACTAAGCACTCAGATGCCAGCTGCTAGCTTTAATGCGGGAGGGTCGACTCCCGGGTTTGGATGGGGAACAGACGTCCGAGGGAACGGGACGGGCGTCCTGGTTCCGTTTTGGAACACCCTTAACACAGGGGATGGAGGCTGGTGGTAGTGAGGAGCTCTGGGACACCGTGGGGAATGACCTTCCTGACACTTTCGCTCTCAGAGTCCTGCGTCCTCCCCGCAGCTCTCTTGGCGCACCCAGACCTGGCTAGGGCGTCCTTGAGGGTCTGACAGTATGCCGTCCCCCCAAGGTTCCGGATTGGGAAGAGGCAGCCGGTAGGAGGCCGTGTCAGGGCCAGGGGTGGGGGAGCCAGGGCCGGAGGGCTGCGGAGACCTGGGAAGGGGTGAAGGGTGGCTCGAGCCTGGCGTTCACTGCC